AAAAAAAAAGCAAAATTTTCGCATAGATTATTTTATATATAGAACAATATAGTTGTTGTCTATTTGAATACAAAGTAAGAATAGATAATGGTAGTGTATATTTATGTTTTATTGTTCTTAGAGTTTATTATTTTATAAGAAAAATAAATATGTATTCTTTCTATCATTATTCATCTGATATATTTATATCACGAACGAAAAATTTTATTATTACTCTATTGCAGTTATTATCTTACGAAAAAAAAAAAAAAGTAATATTACTAGTGAGAAAGAAGAGAATTATAATACTATGGTTATTGTTGTAGAAAGGAAATCATTGATGATTATATAGCTATTGTTAAAGTATATTTTTATAAATTTCTATTATTATTCTATGATATATGTCGAAAGAATTTGACCTATTTATTTCTGACGTTCTATAATACTTACACACAGATATATTTTTCTCATGAGAGAACATTTTCTTACTAAAAACTATTGAGTTATAGGTTATCGATCATGTTCTGATTTCGAATATGACTATAAGAAATTTCCTATAGGTATTTATATAACTGGTTTTCTAGATTAATAAATATTTTGCCCAAATATCGATTTTAATCTTATCTTTTCTGTTTTCAAAAACATGAATTTTAAATAAAATCATATTGAAGCATATCTTTTGTATGAATTAACATGGTTGTATTTTTTGAGGGAAAAAAAAGAACGATTTGAAACAGAAAAAATTATCGTTTTCTATGCAATTCGATATGCTCTATAATCTGAACAGATCGAGAAGTTTGTTAGACTAGAAAATTAGCATGATTCGTAATGGACAATCCATGAACTTTTCGGATCTCTCTTTGTTCACGTATTTTAAATAGTTTTAAATTAATTAATAAGTTTGTGAAACTGACATTATATTTTTCGAACAAAAGTATAGTGAGTATAAGTTTTAGATCAAGGTTTTGCGACTTTCCTCTCATAGTAACATAAAGATGAGAGAACGATCATTGGGTACATTTCCATTAGACGCCGAAGTCAATAGGCATCAGTCTCCTTTCCCCCAATGTCTCTTTGGAACAGAAGAAAAGCGAAAATAACAAGATTTAAACTATTCTAGAACATTCCAAATGTCTGAAATACATTTGTGAATGTTCTAAATAGTGTAATGTTTTATATTTTTGCACATAAAAACTTCTATTCAACATGTTAAGGATGATACATTGATATGTCACAATTGTCATATGATCAACATACAGAAGTATGAACTCATTAAGTTATAAATCAATATCATTGTTTGTAAGCTTATCGAAATAAATAATAGTGTGTTGAGATCTACTATCGATATTGTACAATAGGTGAATTTGTTCAGTTAAATCGATGTTAAATTTAAAAAAAGAAAACGACGAGTAAATAGACAAATAAAAAAAAGCCTAATTACTATTTGTAAATAAGACAGATTGTTTCTCTAACGATCGATTATACTTGGAAAACAACTATAGGTTTTTAGAGATTTTTCAATTGATATATTTTATGACTAAAGACCTGCGCTGATAAGTTTTTTATTAAATTTAAAAAAATATTAATTCAATTCTCTTTTTCTTTCTTCTTTTTTCAAGAATATCCAACAAGAAGATCCTTTCGAAAACGAGATGATTTTGGTATTGTTCATATAGCTAAAGAAACAACACCAATAGAATTAGATAATGAAATATCATCAACTAAACCCTCATCTGTTATGGATGCAATTGTCCAAGAAATGCCTATTTCACCAATTAAACTTGATTCTAATAAATTAGATGAAGATTTACAACAACAACAACAACAACAACAATCTACAATTATAACAACTGAAGAACCACCTCAAACACTTGATGATACTTGTAAGTAAAATAAGAATTTAATTTATTCTCGGATTTTTTTTTTTTTTTTTTTTTTTTTTATTAAAATTTTTCATTAACTTAAAAAAAAACAATAAATTTTTTTCCAGCGCCTACACGTACTAATTTACCATCTCAAACAGTAACACCTGTAGGTGAACGTTTAATAAAATCCAAAATCATACCCGAACAAGCACGTGCATTAGCACATGCACTTAAACATGCTGTTGTTAAACCATTAAAAAAAACTATAGCAACAAAAAAAATGAAATCTCTTGATATTAATACAAATGAATCACCAATCACACAATCATTAACAAATCGATCATCAATAATTAGTGAAAATTCTGATAATATTGTAAATGAAACATCTGTTGATTCATATGAATCAATAAATCCTTTAGCATTAACACCACCACCAGCTAAACCACCACGTCATAATGATGAATCTGGTTCATCATCATCTATAGAAATAAATTCACCACCAATAAAACCGCCTAGACATTTTTCATTATCGAGTAATAATAATAATGATGATGATGGTCTAATACAACAAACAGATAATGTTGTTAAAAAAGTTTTAAATCTTGTTGATACATTTGGTATCATATCAGATAATGATCATAATATGAATATTTTACGACAAACATCATCATCATCATCACAAATCAATGCACAGCAACAACAACAACAACAACAACAACCAACAAATATTGTTGAATATGAAAATGAAAATTTAAATAATTTTCATACAATTAATACATTTACTGTTGATCCAACAAGAGTAATTTTACAAACAGATTCATCATTAAAAACAAAATCATTTGATGAATCTACAATAAAAAAATCATTATTTCCAATTTTATCATCATCAAATGATAATCAAACTCCTATTGAAATAACACAAATAGCAAACAATTTAACAGATAATATTTTTGAAGATATTGAAAAAAAATTTGAAAAACAAAATCAATCAAATAATTTTAATATAATTATAAATAATAATCGACAAAATTTACTAGATAAATTATCAATGCAATCATCTAATAATATATTTCGTCATAATACACCATTATTACCACAATCACTAGCATTAACACATCCAGCATCAATTCAATCGACAACTCGTCCTCTAATGTTTGTTTCACATGAACCAAGTTATAATATAACAAAAACAATTTCACCATTACTTGATATTGTTACAACAAAATCAATACCAAAAATAACAACATCAGTTACAGTTGTAAGTCCACCTCAACCAGAAATTTCATCAATAATAACAACAAATATAAATTCTGATGATGAAGAACAATTAAATAGTTCTTCAACATTAATACCAAATAGTAGTATAGCTTCAGATCGTTCGAAATTTTTACTAACTAGTAGTAAAGAAAGTAGTATAGATTCAAATGATACAAATCTATCTGATAATGCTATATCACAACAATTAAATACAGGTAGTGCAACACCAGCACGTTCATTGCTGTCTGATTATGATAATTTACATGGTTCATACGGAAGTTTAAATGACGACACTCAACAACCATTATCATCTCTTCCTTCAGCTTCTTCAGCATCATCTGAAGCAATATCGTCTATGCCGACATCTAGTACTACTACTACTATTGCTGCTGCTGCTGTCGTTCCTACAATATCGATGTCAACAATAAATGAAAGTTTCGAAAGTTTACCATCATTATCTACTGAAACATATGTAACCGCTATGAATACATTGACGAATAATACACCAAGTGGTTCAACAATACTAACACAACGTATAAATTCCTATATAAGTGATGAAGATCTTGTTGAATCACATGATATTGAAACACCAACCCTAACATCTATTAATCCATTTCGATTTTATAAAGGTAGAATCGCATCGTATTATATACAAATAAACAAGCACGAATATATATATATATATATATATTTATTCATTTTTTTTTTCTGGCATGTCTTGATTTTACTAGATTTTCTTTGTTGCCTGGTTCGAATTGGCATGATTTATTGCGATGTTTTATTTTATTATTATTAATAACTAATAATAAAAATCTCTCTCTATATATATATTTTTATCTATATATAATATAGCATCGCCGCCTATAATCGAAGTTGTTGAAGACAATAGTGAACCTGTTGATGAAGATGATATGTCATTTTTAAATGATGTTCTTGAACAATACAATCAGAATCTTTATCTACAAGGTTTGCGCACACGCATGTTTAAAAAATTTAAAAAAAAAAAATAATGTGTGCGCATGAAGAAAATATTTTAATTATTAAAATTATTTGTTCATTTAATATTTTTACATTTTTTTATTTTTTATTTTCTTATTGTTTAGATACTCACGGAAAAAATATTAGTGATACAGAACAAATATCAACTGATGTGAATAAAGAAGGTAAGAAAAATAGTATAGATCTTAAAAAAAAAATTTTTTTTAAATCTAAAATACGGGTATTACACTATTATTACTGCTGCTCATTTGATTAGTTAATATGCATGTTATATATAGTAGAATATGTTAAAATTTAATTAATAAAATTAAACAATTTAAATTAATTTTTCTAGTTTAAAATTAATCGAGAAATCAATAATGTAAGCAATACGAAAAAAGCATGAATTTTTGAGAATGGATTTACTATTATATAATAAGCATGTAGTTAAATAAAACAAAAAAAAAAAAAAGAATGTCTTTTTTTTCCTTAAAGCGAATACGAACGCATGATTTTCAAATATTCTCCTTGGTTTTTTTCTCACGGATCTATGCGCGTACACTTAAATTATATTATGCTTGTATACATATTTGAATGAACATACACTATAAAGGATATTTACAAGTATGATACGGTTTTTAAAACAACTGCTAATTTTTCTTTCTTTCTTTTTTTTTGCATGTTCTATTAAATCTTTTCTCTTTTCTTTATCTTAGTATATGGTTGTTAATTCTGTCATCATTTAATTTTCTTATTGTTGTCTTAAAGTACACATCGATTAAGAGATTTTATTTTAGTCTTCATCTTTTCTGATTGTTCAATAACAGCAAATTGATTGCTTGTAAATAATAGAGATAGAAGCACATAGACAAATGATAATCAATAAAAAGATTGTTTGACTCATTGACTTTTATTATTATTTTGTTTTTGATGTATCTATTCGTTCTTCATTTTGTCGTATCTTTGCATGATTATGATTTTCTCTTTTTCATTTCATAATAGAAAAAAACCGTATCACACACTATCCATTATAGGAAAAAATCGTTTATGAACTTCTTTTTCTATATATATATAGATATATATATGTTTATTATGAGAATTATATTTCAAAAAATAAGTAAAATTCCATATTATGTTCGTTAGATTTCTTTTTTGTTCTCATTCTTTTCAATAGAGAATAAGCAGCAGAATCAAATGGGCACCAAGTGATTGCTAAGCTATTAAAACTCTCGGTTTTTTTTCCTTGTTTTCTATTGTTTGTAGTTACTCTTGCTGACAAAGGAGAAGAAGAACCACCATCGTCATCATCGAAAACATCATCATTATTATTCTCTTCTACTTCTCCTTCTACTAATCTTCCTTCTTTTTCTTCTTCTCATATGACTACTACTATAACAGAATCTAATATTTTACCATCAATGACAAGTCAATCATCAACATTACCACATCAACAAAGAAATGATATTCAATCACCAATACATCATCGTCGTTTACCATTACCTAATAAATTAACATTTGAACAAAATATAACAAATCTTATTGAAAATGAATCACCATTATTACAATCAGAATTATTAACAGCTAAACGTGAACGTAATACAGATAGTTCATGTTCAGCTGTTAATGAAGGTGTTACAGCTGTAACAGGTACAATATTAAAATCACTTAAAGGACAATTTGAACCACATCATAAAGTTGATATGGCAACATCACCATTTGATATATCAAAACATAATTTATTTCAACACTCATTAGCTATACAAACATCACCTATGATTGAAGGATTACCTGATATACCAGAATCTGTTGAAATACATTATGATGCACAAACAATTAAAAGTCCATATTTACTTGTTAAAACAAAAAATTCATATTGGATAGCACAACCAATACCTGTTTCTGAAGCACAAACACGTTTAAAAAAATTTTCATCACCTGTTATGAAACGTGCTACTGTTAAATTACCAAAAGCATTTGATCAAGCATTATTTTCTGATAGTGATACAGATGATGAACAATTTATAATAGATAAATCTTTAGAAATTGATAATAATATTTCAAATGAAATAATACCATCAACAATTATTGAAGAATCAATTAGTCCATCGAATAAAAATTTATTATCACCAACAGAAGAATCTTCATCAATTTTAATAGAAAATAAACTTGATAATCAAATTTCAATAGAAGATAAACAATTATTATCATCTGATATTAAAGAACAAATATCAGAAATTAAAAAAATACGTTCATCATCACTTCTAAAAATTGAAGAACAATTTGAACAATTCGATGATAAAATTGATGAAATTTATTCCGTTATTGATTATTTAAAAAATACAAAATTAACATCAACAGATTTTAATAATATATATACAAAAATAAATGATTTAAAAACAATAACATCCGATATGAATTTAAATAAACAAGATGAATTACGTATTGAATATGAATTAGATGAATTACAAAATTTATTTCATACAATAAATGATAATTTAATAAATCATATACAACAACAAGAAGATTATAGTTTAATTGATTTATTTGAACAAAATGTTAATGAATTACGTCGTATTATAAACGATATTAAATCTAAACAATCAAATTTAACAACAACAATAACAACAACAACTAAAACAAATGAATCTGAAATAAAATTGGATGAAAACTTACAAGACAATCTATCTGAACAAGTTATTCATCATGATTTAGATTGGACACCAGAACAAATGGCTGAATATTTTCAACGTGCACCTGATGGTCAATTATTATCATCAAAACAAATACATCCACATCTTATACCTGAAAGTCCTGTTATAACACGTGATGTCTTTTTCGAAGGTGATAAACCAATTCAAGAAAAACGTCTTTCTCATCCACATTTAATACCTGAAGATGCACGTATAAGTGCTGATAGTTTTTATGAAGGTGATATACATCGTTCATTATATCATACAGAAAAAGCTAAAGAAACAATTGTTCATGATCAACCTCTTATACCTGAAAGTCCACTTATTTCAAGTGATGTTTTTTATGAAGGTGATTCACAACGTTCATTATTTATTGAACGTCCATCATTACCACAAATGGATTCAACACAACCATCATCAATTGATAATCTTCGTAGTATAATGAGTGATTTAATGCTTCTTGCTTCATGGTCAAAAAAACCAAATATAATTGATGAACAAGAAATCAAACGTCCCGATGAAGAAATTCTAGCTGAATCATTTATAACAACAGAACAAAATTATCCAACATCAAAATTATGTGAAATTGTACATGAAATTGAAAATTTTCCATTAACATCATCAAAACAAAAATTTAATGATTCAATAATTGAAATGGAAGAACGTGATACAATATCACCATTTACTTCTCAATCACCTATTGTTATACATCGAGCTATTGTAACACGACAAGATACAGAACGATGGCCACAAGATGAAACAATTATTATTAATGAACAAACAAATGAACTTGAAAAAATTACACGTGATATTCGACAACATGGAGAAAATTTATTAAAACAAAGAAAAGAAATCGATGAACAACAAAATCAATTATCACAAATAATTGATGATAATCTTTATGATAAATCTAAAAAACAAATAGAAGAACAAAAAGATCAAATTTTGATTGAAACATCACAAGAAGATATTGAACAAAGAGATGAAAATGAACAATATCAAATAGAAAAAACATGGAGTACAGATAAAATTACAGAACCTCCATCAACTATTCCAACAGATTATGATATAGAAACTTTACATAAACCTCTAGAAGAATATCAACAAGAACCGAAACCAAGTGAACTTCACATTTCAAAACAAGAAGATCAATATGAACCAACCTTCACTGCTGACGAAACTCTAATTACGCATCGTCCTGAAATTGACGAAGAACAACCGACAGCAGAATATGATTATCAGCTAGAATCAAAATTAGGCTCGGAACAACTTCCTACGGATTCAACACGATTTAGTGAAAAAGAAGAACAGCCATTAAGTTCGATACATATACCCACTGAAGAAGAATACGAACTTGAACGAAGACTAAGCTTCGAAGAGCGTACCACTGAATCTCCTAACCTTAGTGAACAAGAAGAAGATCAATATGAACGGAAATATGAAACAGTTGAACAAGATCGTTATGAACTATTAAAAACATCTCAACAACAATTCATCGAACATCCTCCTGAAGTAGATATTCAACACAAAGATGAAAAAGAAGATCATTATCAATTTGAGCAAAAACTTCCTACTGATGCGAATATTATCGAACCATTAGAAACAGCTCAGAAACAAGAAACATCCGATGATGAACAATCATTGGAATTAGAGAAAGAAGCCGGTGAAACTCCTGAAGTATATGAATATGAAATCCAACAGACATCAACCCGTGCAGATATCCACGTAGAATCTCCTCATGAAAGCGAGCATGAGGAAGAAGAAGAACGATATGAACCTAAACGAAAACCAAGTGATGATCGAGTCGTTCTTGAATCTTCTCCAATAACTGAAAAAGTACAATATAAACCAAGTTCAACATTTGCAGCAGTTCCGATTGCATTTCATCAACAAATCCATGAAGTAAAACACGAACCTGAAGAACAGTATCAAATTGAACAGAAGTTAGGCACGAAACCAGTCATCGTCGAATCTCCAGAAGTTAGTGAACATGAACAAGAAGAAGAAGAAGAAGAAGTAGAACAATATGAACCAGAATCGATAACAAGTTCAGACAAGATCCATATCGAGTCTACTGAAATAACTGAACAAGATCGTTATGAACCATTACTCACTTCTGACCAAGAATTCATCGAAACTCCAGAATTACGCACTTCATACACAGAAGAAAAAGAAGATCATTATGAATCTGAAGAAGAATTAACCACTGATGAGATTATTGTTGAATCTCTAGGAACAGTTGAAGAAGAAGAAAGATCCCATGATGAAGAACCATCAGAACACAAAAAAGTAGCCGCTGAAGTTCATCAAACGGATGAATATGAAATTGAACAAAAACCAACTAGTGTGGATATTCACATTGAATCACCTCATGAAAGTGATCATGAAGAAGAAGAAGAAGAAGAACAATATCAACTTGAACGAAAACCTAGTCATGACAAAGTCGTTCTTGAATCTTCTCCAATAACTGAAGAAGCTCAATATGAACCGGAATCAATAACAAGTTCCGAGAAGATTGAAATCAAGCCTACTGAAACAACTGAACAAGATCGTTATGAACCATTACTCACTTCTGACCGACAACTCATGGAATTTGCTGAATTGCGCACTTCCTACACGGACGAAAAAGAAGATTATTATGAAACTGAAGAAGAATTAACCACTGATAAG